GGTTTTTATACAGTTGAATATAGTTTTTTTAAAAAATGGATTCAGAGTTTTGTAACATGTTCGTAAAGGCCTTTCTTATACCAAGATTATAAGATTTTAAAAAGTCTCCCATTTTTTTCAAGCTTTGAGGTTTCTTTTTTTTTTTTTTTTCTTTTCTTTTCTTAACCTTTAAATATGTGAGTCATCTGGAATTTATTTTGGTATAAGTAGGAACAGGAATCTCCCTGCACCCCCTCTCCCCAGGGCTACCCAGTTGTCCCAGCTCCATTTACTGGGTAATAAATATTTTATGGTGTTGGGGAAATTCTTTTATTTGGTAAGTGCTTGTTTATAATAGTGTTCCTAACAGCTGAGTCCTTAAAAAAGTGGTCACAGAGTCCTAGAGGCTGCAGTGAGCAAGGGAGAGTTCAAACCTCTGCTTTCCTTGGGTGTTAGCTGATGACAACTGGTGCTATGAGAGCCACCCAGTCTGATGCACAACAAGGTCTGCTTTTCTCTGACTATGGGACTCCGGTGGGACCTGAATACCCTCTAGATTTAGGAAGCTAGGGGTGGTCATGGCTGATTAGAGAGTATTTTGAGCTGACTTGAAAGTGCTCCAGTTTGCAAAGTTCTTCCTCCTCAGTGGCTGGGTTTCTGCTGAAGGGTGATCTATCTCAGCCTAAACTAGTCACACCCCAGCCACGTGGGAGCCTGGACCACAGAGCATCTATGAAGGGTGACTGGCAAGGATGCAGGTGAGTGTGATAGAAATAAGCCTGAGGGGGGAAAGGAGTGAATGGAAGAGGGCTGGAAGGGCCTGCCCCACACTCCTCTAAGACAAAAGAGCAGAAGGCAGTGCCAATGCATGACAGCGCTTCCTGCCTCCAGGTCCCCAGACCACCAGTGTGTAGACCCACTGCCTAAAGGGGTCAGGGAAATGGGGGATGGGAAAGGGGTGAAGACGGGGATGGATGCAGCGTCACCGTGTCCCATCCATCCTGCCTTGAGGCTGCCCCAACCCACTTCTCCTCCCAGTCCTTGCATTCTCTCCCTTCTGGCCAACTCTGGTTACTATTTGGCCAGGTGGAGTGCTGCCTGTGGCTCAGAACAGCAGGCTCAGGTCACAGTGTGAAAACTGGGCTGGGTCTTCCCCCCCAGAAGGACTGCAAGGCACCATTGGCACTGCAGTCTTGGGTTTGGGTAGAATATGGGAGTCACATGTAAGTTTTCTGAGTGGCACCAAAAAGATGATGATGGCAATGTGTCCTGGTACCCTGGTTCAGCAGAGCAATGACACTAGTTATGACCAGATATTTCTCTTCTGGCTGTCAGGTTTCTTCTGCCTAGGGAAGAGTGCCATAGCCAGGGAGCAAAGGGGTGTGAGGATGATGAACCCCTCTGTCTGGAATGTGAGACCTCCACAACTGGGCTTAAGTCTACCCTGCTAGTTTGAATTAAGCATGGCCTAAGAAGCCCTAACTGGAAGTGAGAACCTGGTCTCTCTGCCATTAGCCAGCTGGCTGCGTAAGAAAAAATCATTTTTGTTGTCTGGGCCTTGTTTTATTCACAAAGAAAATTAGGTATTGGATTAGATGAGTGATTTTCTTTTTAAAACCCCTTTTCACAAATGGAAGATTTCACAGAAACTCTAAAAGTGTTCAGTGTTAGGCAACTTAGGCTGAAGCAGTCGTAGGAGTAGGGACTCTGACATTTTGCAGCCACTGGACTAGAGGGGTACTAATGTCCCCTCTAGCTGGCCTTAGGCAGGTGTTTTAACCTTTCTGAGCCTCGGTTTCCTTCTCTATTAATAGAGCTGATAAAACCTACCCAGAAAGGTGTGGGGACTAAGGAGATGGTTGTTCATAGAGCTTCTAGCAGACTTTGGAACACAGATGCTCAATCATTGATGGGGCTACTATTACCATCTGTACCTTTCTGACTTTTCCCCCGCAAACACCAGCTCAGTACCACCCTCCCTTCCCTGTCATGCAGGCCTCTGGCAGCACTCCATTTCTCTGTATCTGTGCAGCCCTTGCACTGTCTCGTGGGCCTCACAATGAAGCTCTAGGCTGGTAGCTGTTTGTGTATGTCCAAAACAACCTCCACAATTAAAGTAAGTTCCTGAAGGGAGACAGTTTTCCTACATAGCTCTAGATCTCCCATTCAATAAACGTCTGTGGATTGACCAGCCCAGACCAGGATGCAGAGGACATCTGTATCAGGAGCAATAACTAGAATGTAGCCCTTGCTTGGTATTCATGAGACATTCATAAAGACGGGGTAAGTGACTAGCAGGGCCCTTGTACCAAAATGGGGTGACCAGTAACTGGCAATCCTTGGCAGCTACCTGTCGAAGAGCACTAGACAGAGCACTAGACAGAGCAGCATTCCTCAGCTGGCATCTCAGCCAGAGAGCAGGACCCTCATTACCAACTCAGAGCCAGTGTCTAGCCCGTGACCACACTTCTGCCCAAAGACAATTGAGAAACTTGGCAATTCAAAGACTCCAGAAAATAAGGCTGGTTTTACATCGTTTATTTATTAATTCAGTCTGTTCTACATTGTACAGTTATGAAAATAACAAAACCAAAGCTGGAAACCCAGGAATATGTACACTCTCTTGTGTAGTGAGGTCAGTCTATGTTGTTGCACAGATTGGTTATGTTTGGTACCACAAGATGTTTATAATCCAGACAAAATCAGATTAACAATTATATATGTACAATAAAACAACAGGGGAGGTCATTCAAGTATCAAAATACAGAGACAAAGATTAAATAACATTTTTATTACAATTCAGTCCCGTTGCCACACCATTAGCAACAATACTTTTGTGAATTGCATTCTGCAGGCCTGGGCATCTCAAAAACAGACCAAGTTCAGACTAGTTATCTATCTAATGTCTTGACAACTGCAACTATGCTTGCTGCCTGTCAAACCCAAGGCTTCTCAAGGAACTCCCCCTAGTATCTGACGCTAGAGGCCCATGGGGGAAGCAGAGTGCTGCAAACGCAGAGCCTGTCAGGACAGTCCTGCTGCGCGGGGCAGCTGGCAAGCAGACGAGAAGAGGCAGGAACCTCGCCGGGGACAGGTCCTCCACCCATGGTAAGTCTCCCATCCAAATGGGCTCCTTCAAAGCTCACACGCAGCGACGATTTGCCACACTATGTGACCTACACTAGAGAAGTGCAAAAGCAGGGGCTTTTCCACTTGAAGCCTGTCCTTATAGTGACAATATTCCCTTCTACGAAAGGGAGAGTACCTGCCCCAGACAAGGAGTGAGAAAGAAAAGGAGGGAAGAAAAAGAACGAGAGGAAGGAGAACCTAGTCACTTTCTTTTCTTGAATATTTGGAAATAAAGCAATTTCAAAACACAACCCAGAGCCACAGCAGACTCGCTAAGGCTTTCTAATATGAAAATACCCTGAATAAATAAAGAAGATATAGCAGCTTCAAGGGGAGGAAACACCTACATATGATTTTTTAAAAAAAGACAGCTTGAGGAACTCATCGTAGTGTCTGTATGGTTTTCTTTTTGGACCTACCAGCCAGCAGAGGCTACTGAGATGTGACTTGGCTTCCTTAGGAGGAAAAAAGGGACCAGCACGAGTCACTTGAGAACTGCACGTTTCCTTGTCAATTCTTGGAGGAAAGTCGGGGCTGAATACTGTACAAGGTGAGCTGATAGGAATACTCACAGGCCCTGAAAGGAGCGGGAAGGCATCGAGGTCCTTGTTTGGCAGAAGCAGAGGACAGCCTGCCTCTCCTGCAGAGGGGAGCTGAATCCCAGGACCTGCTGTGCTGGATGCTGAGCACACAGGAAAGCCACAAGGCCCAGCCTCAAGTCAGATGGAAGACACAGCCCTGCTTTCAACTCCTGGCCAACCACTGGGGTTGTGGACGTGCCTGAGCACCCTCTGCGCATACACACCAACACAGAATTTCAATTCACAACCTCTGCTGGGAAACAGAAGTGTTCCTGAAGCCTGGAATACTTCTCCTGGGGCCAGAGTGAACTGTGCCAGTAAAGCACTAGGCCTGTGAAAGTACCCATGGGAAGCACCGCTCCTGCTGCTACCTGCCTTGGAAGGTGCTGGACAAGCAGCTGCCTGGCTTCGCCTCTCAACCCCACAGGAGTTAGCTCCTTTACCCCAACTACAGCCCAGGAGGAAGAATGCAACCCCAGTTACTTTTAAAAGCAAAGCCAACTGGCAGGAAGGTTTAAGCAGCAGTGGTGCACCAGGATGCCAGCTTGCCCTGAAGGCTACATTGGGGGACAATCAAATGGACTATCACCTTATTTAGCCTTCTGCACACCTGTAGCCAGGATAAGCCCAGAAGTTGAGAATAAAACAGTCAAACCAATAATTCAGAGAATCAAAATGAGCCCTAATCACACAGACCTGATTAAATTACAACCTGTCAAGTAGCAATCTTAGGTGACCTACCCATTAATGCCCCAAATAAAGCTGCTTTTTCTCCTTTCCGACTCAGCTCAGGCAGTCTGTCACCAGAGAGCTGTGTGCCAGCTGGCCCAGGACAGCGCTCTGGTCACTGACAGGTGGGAGGCTGAGGAGAGGCCCAGCACTGCTGAGACTTCACGGCAGCAGAAACTACTCGCTCCATTTGGCCACTGGACCCTCACATTTGGAACCCCAGAAACCTGTCAAAGCCTTTGCTTTTGTCCCAGTGTCTCTGAGGCTGTGTTCTTACTGCACAGCCCACTTCTGTCCAGCTCTAGACTGGGCAAGAAGTTGGGCAGTTCGTAAAGAACAGCAACTGATTTGGTTGGGTTTGAAAAGCAGACTCTATCAAATCTATTCAATTTTGCCCCTGAGCCTGCTCCTTTCACCTCACCCACAAGCCACTGCCTTCTCTTCAGACCTCCTGGGCCACACCAAGATCCCATGCTGAGGACAGAGGGCTGCAGAGTGGCCTTTTAGCCAACCCTAGTTCTCCTGCTCTCTGACCCTAGGCCATTTGTCTAAAGACTGGCAGTTAGACTTAGAGAAAAGTTCATTTTATAAAAAGATTTTTTTTACTATTAAAATAATGTGTTCTGGACAAGTCACTTCTCGACCCTCCGGAGTTCCAGTCTCATCTGCTACAGGCCTGGAGTGCTTCTCCGCAGCTAGGGCAGGGCTCACTCTGCAAGACCTGGTGGTGGCAGGCCCAGGCCGAGCAGCGGAGAGGAGGTCCTGCAGGCAGAGGTTGGGAGGGTCTTCAAAGCTGCAGGTGAGACGGTGGTGGTGATGGTGGTGGCAGGAGCCTGTGCTCCCCATATCTATGTTTCTGCAGCACAGTGTGGTTCCTCAGTGGCTCAGCTTGGCAGAAGCAAACAATGGGGGGAGGAAAGGGTTAACCAAAGGGGACTGCACAAGGTGGAGGAGACTGAAAGGAGACACAGAAGCAGAGCTGAAGGTCCCTCACGGCCTCCCCCTGCGCCCTCCATGGCCCACAGCCCCCTGCCGCTCTGGTGTGGCAAGTCTGCTCAGGAAGGCACAAGGACAGGCAGGCAGACAGAAGGACCCACCCTGATTTATCAACTTGGGTTTCAACTCTAAAATAACTGCCATGACTTACTGGCTTTTCTACTAGACTATGCTCCATTTGCACTGCTTCCTACTGGAATTGCTTCTTTCCTGTCTCCTGTCATCTAAACTGATTTGCCCACACCAGAGAGTGTGGGGCTTCTTCAGAGACTCAGCTCCACGATCCCAGCTGCTCAACTGCTGGGAAGTTACATACTGCACGACCTCTCCTCTCAGAGGAGTCGAGCTGAGGGAGGTTGATCAGGGAAAGGACGGGATGATGGCTGACTTTCTTTGATCCCCACACCATGGACAAGGGACAGGAAGCTCCTGGAGGACAATGGAAGTTGCTAGGTCCAGGTCCCTGTACTCAAGCAGCTCCATCTGTGAAGGAAGAAGGTGCACCGTGTGTGCAGGGCACAGGTCTCCCTCTTGCTGGATCCTACAGGAAGGCCTTCCTCCTCGGTGACCTAGACTCCACAGCCAGGCCCAAGGCTTCCAGACCTTGTGACTCAACGGTGAAGACATGAGGGGCCGACCACATACATGCCACCCCCTTCCTTGGAGTGAAGGCCCATGAGGACCAAGAAACCTGCTGAGCGGAGCCAGCCTGTGGGTGTTCAGATGCTCAGAGCCCCACGCTTTAGAGTCAGCATGTGCCCATGGCCTGACACTAATTTGGGCCCTCACAGAAAGCAGTCTGTCCCTGGTCAAGCCATATCACTGAGCTCAGGGTCTCACAGGGGCCTGGCCATGAGAGCAAGGCCAGTACCCTAAAGCAGCAGAGGAGGGCAGGGCAGGGCTGCAGCTGGGAGCAGCGTGCAAGGGGATTCTGGCACTGGGTGGTCACAGTGGTTGGTTGTGTCAGGAAAGGTGAAAACAGACAGCTCTTGGCAGCGGTACATGGCTGTGGCTCAGTATAGAAGACGGGAGAAGGAGCCAAGAGACAGAACCCAGCTCAACTCAGCAGGAGCTGTCAGTGGTGTGCTTGGGGTCTGCTCGAAGAGTGCCACCAGCCCTCAGGACTTGCAGTGCCTGCCAGATGCCTCCTGGACACCATAGAGCCCCTGAGCCCTCTTGGTACCCACCTCAAAGGCAACTCCCCCCTCCCAAAGCTTCTCAGCCCACGGGGGAGAATTCACAGTGTTCGGTGGTGTTAGGTGCGGGAGCTGTGGGTGTACAGTGTCTAGAGCTGCTGCCCAGGAGGGCAGGTCCCAGGAAGGTGGGGCCTTGGCGCCAGCAGCTGGAAGGAGAGAGTCGAGAAGAGCAGAAAGAGTGGGTGGCAAAGGCACAGTGAGACTAGTGGAGACGGGGAGTGAGTTGTTTTAGAAGATAGTGGTCTCATACTTGGTGCTGAGGTTCCGCTTAGAGTCTGGTTTTGGGTCCACAACCCAGGAGACACTGGCATGGGACTGGGCATCCTGGTCCATGTCAGGCGGTTCCAGCTGCCAAACAAGGAAACAGGGTGAAGAGTCAGAGGGGGCTCTGCGCCAGGGCCAGGAGGCAAGCAGGACCAGCATGCCTCTGCCACCTCCCAGGTTGTGTTGGCACCACTATGCTACACCATGAGGGGCAGTCCTGGGGGGTGGGAGGGGTCTCATCCTCCCTGCAGCATCATGGCGAGGGCCACCTTCAGGGACAACTTCTCCCAGGGATTTCTTGGAATTGCTCAGTTATAGGAACCTTGCTGTACCCAAGCTTCCTACTCTAAGCCCCAAACCTGTTCATGGTGGGCAGGAAGGGGCTATCGGGCTTGGACACTGCAAGCCTTGGATCCCTCTGGTGGGGCTAGAGAACTTGCCCTGAGGCAAGGCCACAGCAACGCCCCAGACCTCTGGAGCGAGGACACACGAGAGAAAAACAGAGATGGCTAAAGCACACACAGGGAAGGGCAGAGGGTGTCTCAGGAAAGGAGAAAAGAATATCACACAGGCAGAAGAGAGGCCACCGGTCTAAGAAAGCTCACGGTCACTTCGGGGAGACTGACACACAAGACAGCAGGAGGCGTAAAGACCTTGACTCCAGGACTAAGAGACGGCAGCGGTAGGTAGGAAGGACGGTGGGTGGTGCAGGTGTGACAGTAACAACAGCGACTATCAGGGGGCAGCGGCACCTGGGCGCGAGCAAAGCAGACACAGACACAGAACGACATCACTGGGGGCTCACCAGCGGGCCGTGACCTCTGTAGCCCATGATGGCCTGGCCCTGGGCTGAGCCTGGCAGGGGAAGGGAGCAGGAAGGCTGGAGGGGAGGCTGGCAACTGTCCACCTCGTGTGGGGAGCAGCACCCCTGGGCAGCAGGATGGAACCTAATTAAGAGGGTAGTTTCCCTGAGGGGCCAGCTGTCTGAAGTGTGAGAAGACCCTCCTCACGCCCAGCTCCACCCAAGCCCTTGAATCCTGGGGCCCGGGAGCTGGGGAGTTATAGAGACAGGGGCCTACGTACTGCGGATTTCTTCATGCCGACCCGAGGCTTAGGCACCGGTCTGGAAGACTTTGTTTCAATCGTCTCCACTGCAGAGGCCCCCATGGGCCTGGACTTCTGGGCCTGCAGGGCCAGCTGATAGGCCACCTCAAACGCCTGCCCCAGTGTCAGGATGATCTCGTAGGTCAGATTCTGGAGGACACAGAGCACCGCTTACACACATGGGATCCAGGGGCCGCTTCATCCCTTCTGCCTACCCCTCCCTGAGCACGGGCAACAAGGAACCCTTGTTTTGTTTTGTTTTATAAAAGATGACTGGTAAGGGGATCTTAACCCTTGACTTGGTGTTGTCAGCACCACGCTCACCCAGTGAGCTAACCGGCCATCCCTATATGGGATCCGAACCCGTGGCCTTGGTGTTATCAGCACCGCACTCTCCCGAGTGAGCCACGGGCCGGCCCAGAACCCTTGTTTTGGAAACACAGATTTGTCCCACTGTGATTGATACATTAGGGAATGGTTTGTACATAACACATTTTCTGTTTCCTCATGCATGATTTCCTCCCAAAGAAACACTAGGTAAATGCCAAATCTGCAGCCAGCTTAATCAAGTCCCATGAGAACACACAAAACCGTGCACAGCAACCTGCAAGCCGCAGCCCAGCTGCTGTGGGTAGACTTGGCCCTGCCCTGCCCACGCTCCCACATCCACAGCAGGGCCAGGGCTGGGGGCTGGGGGTTGGGCTGGGCAGCTGCACACTTTGGCGAGCAGGCTTCAGGTCGCTCCAAGGTGGAGTGCCCTGTTTATTGGGGGTTTTTAGGTATCTCTCAACCAGTGTTTTTATTAAGTGAGTATGTCACTTTTGACAAAGTTTGTGAGTGTTGGGCCCCAGCCCCATTTCTTCATGAACCCTGTGATTTTTCATGTGTGATTTTACACAGCACAGTGGTTCTTAGGAGCATTATGCTGAGTTACAGCAGACGTGACTGTATGTGGAAAACGTGAGCTACAGATAAGTACCATGAACTCTGAGTGCTGTGTGGATGGCCTCATTCAGTCTTCAAATCAGCCCCACGAAGTGGGTTATATCATACAGGTGGTCATGACTCACGATGGTTTGACTTACCATCTTTAGACTTTATGATAGGTTTATTGGGGTATTAAATGCATTTCAGCTAATGATATTTTTGACTTACAATGTATTTATCGGGACATAACCTCCTCATAAGTCAAGGGGCATTTTCCCCTTCAAAGAGATAAGGAAATGGAGGGGTGATGTTTTCAGCAAGTGGCCACAGCCTGGACTCCTAACCCCCACTGGCCCAGAACAAGCAGACAGCTGGGGTGTATAAGACCCCAGCACTGCGGGGAATGCCCAGATCTGTCTGTATTCCAGGAGCCACAGAGATCCTGGAAATAGCTACTTGCACTGAGGGCAGTAAGGACCTGGACACCCCTGGCTTCCTCCTGGGGCCAGCACCAGGCCTTGTCTCAGGGCAGAGGGTTTCCCGCTGTGAGAGGATGAGCTCTTCTCAGCCTGCTGGTGCCCACAGCCCAGTGAGGGCAGAAATCTGAGGGAAGAAAACCTGCTGATGGGGGCACCGCTGCCCCTAAGAGAGTCAGAGGGCATTTCAGGGAGACGGCCTGGCTGAAAGTTTGGGGACTGGGGCAGTGGGTTGACAAACTGAAAGGCTTCAGGAGACAAAGGCCTTGCCTGACCCAAGAAGCACTTGGCTAAAAGCTGGAAAGCCTCTGTCACGAGTGCCCTGGACTGGCCACTTGGTCCCCGCTGTGTCTCGGCCTCATCACTGTGTAAAGGGGATAGGACTGGATGCCTGCTGGGCTTCACTCATGAGCCACGCAGTGGCCAGCTACCAGCCAGCTGCCAGGACAGCATTGTATCCGCGCCCAGCCCGATGCAGCCAGGCCCTCCAGGGTTCACAGCCTCTGCTGCCTTCTCAGGGCAGGGGCCCGGATGAGCCCAGCCACAGGACTCTACCCACCACATCCACCGTGCTGAAGACATGGCAGTAGTGGTGGCTGGTCTGCAGGTCCTTGGTGATGTAGGCAAAGGTACAGAGGTCCTCCGGGTCCTGAGCCGCACAGGAAATGTTCCGGATTTCGTGCTCTGCGATGACATTCTGCTGGGGAAAGCAGTGTTCTAGAATTCTCGGCTCCCTCAGGGCTCACCTGTGGCACCACCTGCCCCAGCCTTTCACCATCACCACCTTTCTTTGTCCTAGCCTAGAGCATTACTGAGTCCCATTACTCTTTTTTCTTTTGGTGAAGCTTGGGGGGAGCCAACCTTCCCTGATTCAGGTTTGGGTGTCCACCCTTGACCTTGGCAACTGAGGCAGTAAAATGTTCACATCCAACCATTGGCTCTCCAGCCCCTGTCACCTTGAAGGCGGGGACAAGGTGGGAAGGGTCTCAGGAAGGCAGGGTCCCCAGTGGCAGTGCATGGGGGAAGTCCTTGCTCATTGAGGGAATCACACCACCGAAGGCCTGTGAGCAGGTAAGTGGGGCCAGTGGAACCCACACTGAGGAAGGTATCAGTGGTGGACAGTAGGGCAGAGGAGGGGCTGGCAGCAAGGACCCAAGGGAAAGGACATGTGTGCAGATGTGGACAAACACCTGGGTGAGACGGTAGAGATGGGAAGTACCGCGAGGTGACTAGGGACACTCTAGGATGATAAGGGATGAGAAAGGGCATCCAGGTTGCTTGCCCTGAGCCCCTCTCCCACCAGCAGTCCTTGTGAGCAGCACACCTTGTTGGAGGCATCGATGAACTTCACTCCTTTGTAGGTGATGGATAGGATGATGGTGGGGATCTTCTTCATGTGCTCGGTGGATTTCTATAGGAAACAAGGGAGGCCCTGTGAACACCCCTCGTCAGGGCTAAGCCCTCTCGGATTCTGCAGCCCCCAGCCTCTTTCCCATCCTAATGTGTGGCAGGGCCCAAGCGGCTGCAGCTGGGGTTCCTGTTTGCTGCTTCCTGCCCTAGACGGCCCCCCACCCACAGCTCCACTCTGCAGACCTACCCGCATCTTCGCACAGGCATCTTGTGTGGACTCTGTCCCTCGCAGATCTTTGATCAGCATGGAGCCCAGATACTGCGGGAGTGAGCAGTGGCTGGGCTGAGGAAGTCCTGTTACCATGCAGGTGACCCAACCAATTCGGGACTGTCCCACTGTCAGGTGGTTACCTCTCCCAATATTCCCTTTTCCTGTCCTGGCTGGGGATGCCTTCTCTTTTCCTCTCTGGCTAAACCTATCCAGAGGTCTCCACCCCTTTCTTTCAGCTGCTAGAAATGGCTCAGGAGTAGAGGACAGCATCTGAGCCCTGGGACTGGCATTGTGGAGGGGCAGAAAGTGGGAGGCTGCCATGCTGGGAGAGCAGGACTAACTCACATTGGCTTCGTAACCGCAGGACTCAAAGATGAGTTTCTCTGGCTGGTGTTGCCAACTCTGCACAGGGGCATAGGGGGCAGCCAGGCTGGGTGGCCGAAGGGTCAGCTTGGCCTCACGATGCTCTTCCTGCAGGACATGTGCAGTTGATGTCACAGGCTTGCTGCCTAACTCCAGCACCCCCAAGGGTGAAGAAGCCAGTGACCTCAGTGAGTTCAAGGGTCAGGTGGAGGGGGCATGGGCAGATGGGCAATTCACATGTGCTGTGGTGACACAGAAAATTCAGAGAACAAGGACCCCAACCACCCAGAGCTCTGTCAGGAAGGTCTCTGAGGAGCTGAGATGAATCTCACAGGAGATGGGCAATGACGAAGAGCAGAGGGGAAAACAGCAGAGTCCGGGGACGGGGGAAAGCTGCCAGATGCTGCTCGCTGCTCAGCACAAAGACCAAAGGACAGCAGGCAGGAGCCAGATCCTGGAAGCCTCGTACCCCCGTCAAGGACCCTGTATTGAATCTTTGCATCGTGGCCAGGGATGCATTTTAAATTGATCCTCTGGCAGCCGTTGGGGGGCACATGGGGCACTGCAGTCAGGTGAGAGATGATGGGGTTCTTACCTAGGGCACTGGTAGAAGGAAAGGAGAGGAAGGAAAAGATTCAGGAAACATTTAGGACTTCCATTTGCAATGTGCAAAGAGTCTCTCACTATGAGCAACTAAAACTGCTGGATAACACGATTTTTAAATCTTTAAGAATTCGTGACCGTGCTTGTAGAAAGGTATTGGAAGTCCCTAGAGGCCAGCAATGAGAACTGAGAGTCAGAGGAACAAGCAGGAGTGAAGCTGAAGGACACCCAAGGGGCATAAGAGATCTGCCAATCTTGTCTCTGACCGGCCAAGATGGGGGCAAGGAGCAAAGCCAGGGGTCTATGCAAGGCAGGGGGTAGGAAAGGCAAGTCTTGAATAAATCTGGGACCCCTGAAACTGATATCCTGTGAGGGTGAGATGGAGCCCTGCTCAGGCAAGGGCTGGAGGTGGCACCAGGGCCAGTGTCCTGGCAAGGCACCGTGCAGTGTGTGCTTCTCCAGCTGCGCCCACCATGGGCTGCAGTTTTGCTGGGCAAGTGGGACAGAAGGATGTGAGATTGAAGAGGCTGGAGAGAAGGTAGTTCTGGGGAACAACCAGATCAAGGGAGAGAGAGACCAAGAGGGGGCTGAGAGAGGGGGAGAAAGCTGGGGATGTGGGGATGAAAAGGGTCTAGAGGGCGGTTGGACAGGAGGAGGCCACACTCGACTAGGAGATGTTGGTCTTGAGCTTCTGAGGGAGGGAAGTCCAGCCACCCAGGATGCAAGAGCGGCCCCAGCAGCTGACAGCTTAGCTGAGCTGTGCTGTTGAAGCTCACGGAGGCCTGGGGCTGGCCGGGCCTGACACGCAGCAGCTGGGTGGGAAGGAGTGGAGCAGCGGAGCCTGCTGCCTGCCCTGGGAAGCACTGTCCTGCCCAGAGGGATGAGGTGGACCCCAGCCACAGCCCCCTCCTGCCCCACCTGGATTCTGAAGCGCTCTGCTCGAGAGGGTGCCGCAGGGTCATGAAGACTGTCATGCCACCTCCTGCCTGTGTCCCCAGGAGGCAGCAGCAGGTCTGCTGACCGCCCAGTGCAGGAATCATTCTGGCTCAGGGGGGATGACGTCTGGGAGATCAAGTCTTGGCACTGTAGGGGGAGAGATCCAGGTGGAACTCACAACCCATTAGCCCAGTCCCTTGGTTGTAGGTTTTGCCACTCCCAGGGCTGGTTAGGACCAGGCGTGGGCAGCAGAATCAGTGAGAGAAAGGCAGCAGGGGCCATGGGGCCAATATCACAGATGTCAGACAAATGGCACATGAGGCCAGAAGCCTGTGGTGAGACAGGTGGCCAGGGCCCAGCCTGATTACAGTCAAAGTAACAAATCCTCCCTGGTGTCCAGGGATCCCTGACACCCAGCACCGCAGGGGAACAGCCACCTTGAGCACCCACAGTTCACTAATGCTCCCCCTGACCTGCAGCCTGAGGAAAGGGATGGTTATAGGCGGGGCAGCCACTTTTACATTTATCAAAGATAAAATCATCTGTCACAGTAACATTGCAGGTCTCTGGGACACATGACCAAATCCAAAGCTCTTTTTCTTTTCTTTTTTTTTTTTTTTAAAGATGACCGGTAAGGGGATCTTAACCCTTGACCTGGTGTTGTCAGCACCACGCTCTCCCATGAGAGCTAACCGGCCATCCCTACACAGGGATCCAAACCCGTGGCCCTGGTGTTATCAGCACCACACTCTCCCAAGTGAGCCACGGGCCGGACCTCAAAGCTCTTTCTTGAGGTAAAACTTAGCACTGCCACTTGGCAGCGTGGGGCCACTGAGAATACAAATCACAGAGAATACAAGTCAGCCTCACCAGTTCTCATATTTGAACGTCAGCTGTTTGCCTGCTTCCCAGAACGGGGCTGGACCCCAGCCTTCTCATCTGGAGAAGGAGGATAAGAGAGTGCCTACTTTCTGAAGCTGCTGGAGAATGACATGGGACGAGGCACAGGCACGAGCTCAGCATGCAGCAAGGGCTCAAGGGCAGTGGCCACTCTTGTCACCTGCCAATGTGGCATGTTTCAGCCCAGCAAGCTGGGGGAGAGCTCAGCCTGAACTGTGGGCTCTTGGTGTCTAACCTAGTTTTGCAATCAGGGATTATCTGGCTTAAGCAATGAATTATCTGCGGGTTCTCTCTTCTATCCAATGCCAGGAATCCTAATTCAGTAGACTTGGCTTGGGCCCAGGGGCTGCCAGTCCTTGCCGTGTATTCCAGGCTTCGCCTCAGGGCAGGTCACACTGCCCCGAAGGGGCTCCTCCAACCTGCCCGCCCCGCCCCCAGGTGCACAGCCAAGTTTAAGAGCCAGACAAAGCCCCACTTAAGTCTGGGATCTTATGTTTTCCTACTTTTTCTGAAATTGTATTTTCTACTTATATTTAAACTGGATCCTTTACATAAGCCATCTCCAGCTTCCTTGGGTGTAAATGGGAGGCATAGAATTTATAAAACAACTAGCTAAGAAAACTGTCTCTCCTGTGCTCCTCTCTTGACCTGGGTCCAGAGGTAGGCTTGGCCCAAACGGCGAGAGGGAGGGGCTGTTTTCTCCCACACCACAGAGGTCACACTGTCTCTGAAGAATTCCTAAAAGTACAAAGAACACACACATATTCCTTTCATCTCTTGCCCACTCACTCTTAGCTGGGAAAACCGTGGGGGCTTCTGGGGCGGCTCCTCATAGGGCCTGTCTGCGAGGGAGGCGATGATGCGCTTGCGATGGCCGAGCAGGTGGACCTTTAGGACCTGGGCAGTGAGGAGGGGAGGGGGAGACATCAGCGACTGACTGGGCCCACAGTCCCCTCCGGCTCCGGACCTCCCCCCGTGGGACAGGCTGTCCTCAAGGGAAGCTCACACTTCAGGAAGGTCCGGGTCAGGCCCGAGCAGAAGCTGTACTCACATTGACAAGCTCCAGCTCCCAGAGGTTCTTCACAGTGTCGATGGAGCTGTAGCCACTCGACAGGAAGGAGTGGACGTAGTCCTGCAGCCCCAGGGAGTCCAGCCAGGAGGGTACCGATGGGGGGCTGTTCCCGTCATAGCCAAGAGCCTTCACCTGTGGGGCAGAGAGGGAGGTGGGACCGACATCTCAGCACTCACAGAACGAGGACCCTCAACCCATGGGCCCAGGCCAGCTCACATAAGTCACACCAGAGATCATGGGCTGGGGGGCTCAGGTGGCTCAAGGTGGCTTTTCCCCATGCGGTGCTGGGTGTCAGGGATCCCTGGACACCGGGGAGGATTTGTTACTTTGACTGTAACCAGGCTGGGTCCTGCTGGGCTGCACGGTTCTTCCCATCACCACTCTGGTCTCAGCTTCCCCAGCTGGGCAGTGGGAGCCACCAAAATGCCCCAGGTCTGGGGCAGGACTGGATGGGGAGGAGGGTTTGCAAAAGGCCTGCCTGTGCCCTGATGAGGTCACAGGCCTGGAGGGACAAGAAAATGGTGCGTGCCTGGAAAGGTGGCACTTCTGGAGCTCTGGGGAAGTGGAAGGGACAAGGGGACACTTGACTCAGATCCAGCATAGTCAAGGGGGAGCGAGTCAGGCCGACTAGCTCCTGATTCCCTAGGGTACAACTGAGCCCCTCTGCTGCCTTGCTCCTCCCAGGCTGCCTAGGGTGGAGCTGATGCCAGGGGTCAGCATGGGCTGGCCTGGGCTCCAGTGAGTCAGGAGAGATCCCAAGTGGGCTCCAGGTGACAGGCCAGGCCCCTGAGCTGGGCAGATCACTGGAACCTCCCTCACGAGCCCAGACTAGGTGCTCCCTGTCCCTGTCGCCCTACTGATCCTCCAGGAGCTGTGGGACTGGGCAAGGAAGCAAACAGGACTGCGTGCCAGCCAGCCGGGCTGCCAGGACAAGGGGTGGACACCTGGTGCAATCTGCATGCCCCTGAGCTACGCTCCTCCCCTGTCCTGGGTCCAGGTGGTGGTAGGGAGATGGCCCTGGCTCTGGCACAGACCAAGGCTACAGAGCTGCTGGTGGTCACCTTGGGCAGGGAGCGTGCGGCCTGGAGCAGCTTCCGCCGGTGCTGGGGGTCGCTGATGCCAATCTCCCGCAGGTCCTGCTCTTCCATCACATTAGACCCCTGAGAGCAGAAAGGAGAATATTAGGGCCCCTTGAACTGATGGCTGGGCTACCTGAGGGCATCAGGTCGGCCTTTCATGACCCAATGACAAATTCTTCTTCACCACAGGCAATAAGAAGGCGCAGAGACCCGGGGCTCCCAGGACAGAAGACAGAGGTAAGCCACAGCCAAATCTGCCCAGACTGCCCACTCCCTCCTGAGTGGCTCCCAGGGAGCTGAGCAGTGGGGGGACTCAGGGATGTGTGCAGGGTGCTGACCTGGGCCAGAACAGATGGGGAGAGGGGCACGGCATGGCCAGTCTGGCCACAAACCCTTGCCCAACTCAGCACACGTGCATTTTTCTGGGGAGCAGGTTCCACAACCACCCAAGATGAAGGACTCATCCCAAGGTTCCTCCTAGATATGATTTCATAATTCCGGGGCTGGTGAGGAGGATGGCTGGTGCTCATGTGTGCTTGCTTATTGTGTGACAGGGACCATGAGCTTGACATGGATTATCCCACTTCATGCTCACAACCCTGAGTTCAGGGTCTCTTTTAATCCTTGTTTTACAGATGAGGAGACTGAGGCACACAGAGGTCAGAAACTTCCCTAGGTCACACATCTAGCGGTGGGGCTAAGATTTGAACCCAGGCAGTCTGACTCTATCTACTCCTTGCTCCTGGCCCCTATGAGGATACCTCTCATTACTCACAAGAGTCACGAGAGAGGTAGCAGCAGAGTAAATTGTAAAATACACAGTATGGTCTATGATACAGAATTCATGGGTTCTGCCCCGTCCCTCAGCTGTGGAGCCCCTCCCAGGGCAACTGCTGCTGCTTCCCAGGTCCCGGAGCCCAGCTGGGCACACACAGGCACAAATGTAATTCTTGTACCCACTGTTTGACACCCTGTTTTTACTACTTAACACCTACAGGAGATCGTTCCACATCGGCATATGCAGGCCTGCCTCTTTTATAAGCTGCATAATCATCTAGGTTAGGGATACGTTATAACTTACTCAGCCAGTGCCCTGTTGAAGGACGTTTGGTCCCACCTTCTGCTATTGCAGATGGTGCCGCATGAGTCCCCACCCCCGTGTGCATCATTTCTAGCTGGTCATCAGGAAGGAGATGCTCGTTCCAAGGCTGTGTGTATTTACAATTCTGACAGACATTTCTGCTCCCCTCAATGATGTCAGTGCTAGCTCCCCACACTGTCCTGCACACGGTGGAGAAATGGTCTATCACTATGGTTTCAACCTGCACATTTCCTAGAGTAAGATCATCTCACCCATAGGTGAGGTCGAGCACCTCATGCATCTCATTTATCAAGCATTTGTGCAGCACTTCCTCCCCCACTCCATGTTCACCTGCTTCACACAAGCTAACCCATCTAATAGAAGGGACCATCCTTATCCCCATCATACAGCTGAGGAACCTGAGGCCCAGAATGTCAGTGACTTGCCAAGGTCGCACGCTAAGTGTGCGAGGAGCTGATTCAGCCGTGATGCCCTGTCTACATGTCTCTGCTGCCACTGGGGTGGGGAGGCGGAGGGCGGATCCAGACCTCGTATTGCAGGAATTACTTGCTTGTATCTTTGAATGTTCTTCTCTGGAGTTGTTAATCTTTCCTGTATAGATTTGTAGGAATTCTTTATATACTAAGGAAATTTACCTTTTATCTATGAAATGAGTTAAGACATTTGTTTTTCCAGTTTGTCATTTTCTTTTAACTTTTATGTTGGCTTTGTTCATGTAGAAATTTACATGAACTACCAACTTTCCTGGCAAAGCTTCTCAGTTTTGTCAAGCTTAGAAAGACCTTCCCTCTCCAAGATTATTTTTTAAATTTTCCACATTTTCTTTCTGTAATTTTACAGTTTTTTTTAAACAATTAAATCTTTAATTCATCTGGAATTTATTGTGGTGTAAGGTTTAAGAGTCAGGATCCAACCTTATTTTTTTCTAGGCAGCAAGTTGTCCATTTCTTGAATGAGCTTTCTTTCCCCATCAATCTGGAATTACTTTTAACGTGTCTGAAATTCCTGTGTCTTTCTGGACTTTCTATTCTATTGAGGTGGGCATTACTTACCCCCACTTTACACATGGAAAAAGCTAGTAACTGGAGCCAGCTCATGCAGACTACCACCTGGTGGCCCCACCTCTGTAGATGAGTTGTAGTGACTGTTGGCTGCAGAAGCCTCCCCAGAGTCTGTGCATAGTGACAAAACCTTTGTCCCAACAAGGACACTGCCAGCCTTAAGCTGCAGAGAGGCCAGGTGAAGAGAGCCATTGAAGCCAGGCTGGAAGCCCCCCCTCTGCTCAGGCTGCGGAACACACCACTTGCTGGGTATGAGAGAGGCCTGGGTACCACTCTAGATCTGAGGCCAGCTCCTGAGTCACCACACAGTTCCTGCAGCTGCTCTGGAAGTGAATCTAGGGTCTGCTGATAGGGAAAGGCAGAGAGGTGGCCTGCCCAGACTTCCTACTTGATGATGTGGATGCCCAGCTGAGAAACTGAACTGAGCTTGAACCCCCGAGAGGAAGTGAACGCCCAAGAGGGCAGCACCAGGGTAAATTTCTGAACTCCTACTGTAACCCCAACATTTATTCATAAACTTTCACCAGCTTTTAGGGCAACATTCATGCTGCACTGAAGGCTGACAACCAGGAAAACGAGATCCAACTAGAGACAAGCCTTCATTAACCAGATCCCCATCAATAGAACTAGGGGGCTATATGCAGCTTTAAGGAAAAAGGTAAATGGAAACAAAACAAAATAAAGAATATGACTGAAAATAAAAGCAATCAGTTGTCAGAACGTGTCCTGGGTGCAGAGCAGGGTCCTTCTGACTCCTGAACCGGCCACATCTCTGTTCTGTGGCATTAGTTTATGTGCTAACTACCAGTGCTACAAATCTTCAAAGGGCAAGAAACAGTTCTGGAAGTTACTACACTCTCTTTACTCAGGGAGAAAGGGACCACTGCCTTTTAGAAACCTCTTCACAAGGAGGGTTATGGGAGAAAAAGGAACTTTCTACTTTACCTCTTACTACACTTACTACACTTATTTACTTAGAGCTTCCTATATACCAGGCCCTATCCTGAGTTCTTAGTGACTTGATAATTAGGGAACTAATAAAGTAAAATAATTCATTGGTGTAAGTATTTCAGTTAAGAGAGTTTCTTAGCTTTTTCTTTTTAAAAAAGTTTCCTCCTTGGGAGCTGGCCGGATAGTTCAATTGGTTAGAGCACATATCCCCCAGGTCATGGGTTTGGATCCCTGTAGTGGCCAGCTGCAAAAGAAAGAAAAAAAATAGAAAGAAAAAAAATAGAAAGAAAGAAAAATGAACAAAAAAGTTTCTGACTCCAAGTGAAATCTAAAACGCATAACTAGTCTTCAGGCCTGCCCTGCATGGAATCAATGCCTGGCCTGGTTTGGGTCCAGTCCCTGAGGAGCAGGGGACAGGAGGGCTCTGGCAGCAGAGGTGTAACAGAACATGGGATTGCCTGTACCTCGCACAAGACCATTACTAGGTGACTTTCCTCAATAAGGACACCCCTCACCCCCACCCCTCCACACACTGGGGAAGTGGTGTCTATCACGGAGGCTGTTGTTAGTTTTTCTCTCCAGCAGCCCCATCCATTTGAATGCTCTCTCCTCCCTACCAGCATCTGTCACTGGGCTCCACCAACAGCGTGGGCGGTGGCTTGGACAGTGGCCCATGGTGCTGAACGGGGTTTCTGAGGCCCCGGAGGAAGGAAGGGGGTGCAGCAAGAACTGCCTCTAGAAACCCTGGGGAGAGGATGGAGGGGCTGGGGAAGGGGCGACTGCAGGACCCACAGTCCTCTCTGCCACGCTCTCTGGCCCTCCAGAGCTCTGAATATCTTCAGAGCCTTCTTGACCATATGATTTTTGGAGAAGGAAAAATTTTTTTTGGCAGCTGGCTGGTATGGGGATCTGAACCCTCAACCTTTGGGTTATCATTAGCACCACACTCTACCAGCAATTTTGCATCCTGAGAGGCATTTCACTTGTTAATATTTTACTTGAAGTTCTTTAACTGTAGGTAAGGCCTTCACTCAACAAATTATGGAAAAGGCCTAAGAAGAGGCATGTGGGGAGTGCTGGCTAGGGGGCCTCTGTCTTCCCTTGTCCCTCCACACTGGTCTGCTCAGAGGGCCTGTCCTTGTAGACATGACAGGGCAAAGGGCAGGGGGACAGAGAGGCATGAGTGAGGGAGACTTCTGTTTGTCTCATTCACCTGGAGCAATACAGGGCATGCTGTCCGTGCACAAGAAACCTGCTGAACAGCCAAAGCAGAGTATGGTTGGGGGAACCTCCCCGCTATCAAAAAGAAGGAGGCTGCATAGCTGAGGTCAGTGCTGCTGCTGCACCGCTGTGGTCTTTTTGTATGTGCTGGGAAGGACTGGGACGAGGGCTGGGCGAGGGAAAGAAAACAGCTGCGCTTCCTTCCAGCCTGCACGCCCTCCGTGCTTCACTGCTGACACCGAAAGTGGAGGTTTCTCCTGCAACAATTCAATTCTCTATGGATACCAGGTGGGCATCCTGCACTTTAACTCAGTTCTGACGCTATCTACCTGGAGAGAGCACAGACCCCACAGCGCAGGTTGAGGACTCAGTCCCACGAGACCGCCCCCATTTGAGACACCAAGTCCGGGGCATTACCTGCGCATCTGACTGACTGGCTAGAAATTGGAGGCTCCCATGATCCTCTCAGGTTCCATCATTTGACTGAATGGCTCAGGGAACTCAGGAAATCACTTTATGTTTACTCATTTATTATAAAGGACACAACTTGGGAACAGCCAGAGGGAAGAAGACAAGGTATGGGGGAGGGGCATGGACCTTCCTCCCAGCACCTCCGTGTGTTTGCTGACCCAGAACTTCCCTGAACCCCATTCTTTTGGGTTTTTATGGAGGCTTCATTACATAGGCATGATTGATTAAATCACTGGCCACTGGTGATCAGTTCAGCCTTCAGCCCCTCTCCCCTC